GAGAGAGAGAGAGAGAGAGAGAGAGAGAGAGAGAGAGAGAGAGAGAGAGAGAGAGAGAGAGAGAGAGAGAGTCATGGCATACAAACGATCATCATGAACAGATAACTGTTATCACCATCCTCATCACCTGCGACCTCACCACAAGCAATAGTGTCCCGACGATAATGACGATGATGGGGATTGATACAAGGAATTGCCATATGAGATCCTGGGATAGTGGCTCTGCACTGAGATGTTTCTGTCAAAAAAAAAGAGAAAAGGTAGTCTCCTCGCTAACAGTCCGATAGCAAACCAGACTGCCTCTGGAGACACAGAGAGTATTAGAGAAACATGGGCAATGAATCTTTTTTTTCTTTCGTTTTTTTTTTTTAATTCTGGCTCGAGGCACGTGGCCTTTCCTACCCATGTTGCCACTGCTCCTCACGGCATCCTGACCCCTCGAGCTGCCAGTCTCCGTCCCGATCCCCGCTTCATCCAGGAAATCTGATCGCTTTGTGATCACCCTCATCCATGAACCTCACTCACCGTCTCCTCTTCCTTGCATTCATCATCCTGCTCCTCCCCCTCCATGATCTCCTTATCTTGCCTTTCCTCTCTCACCTTCTCCTCCTTGTCCTCCACACTCGCGCTCCATGACTCCCTTCCCCTGTTCCCACTCCTGATGCTTACGCTCGTGGATGCATCCTCACTCCTAGACCCGCCAGTGTTGCACCTTGTCCTCGGACCTTGCTCATCACCACCTCCTCCTCCTGCCGCTCATCCTCTTCCTTCACCTCCCCCTACACGACCTCCTCCTCTTGCCCTTCCTCTTTCACCTTCAAATCACAAACAGCCCCAAAAAGCACGCCGGCTCATGGCCGTTTTCTCCAGGACACCTAGTTGGGCCCGCCCCAGGTCCGCAGACTTTCCCAGCACAGGCTGCCAGGGTCTCAAGTGGGAGCATCATGCGAGACCCCCTATTTCAGGGAGAAGCAAATGAAGGGGGTCTTAGTGGGCCCAATCAGAAATCTGCCCTACTGGTTGCCCTGTGTCACAAAAGAGACTCTGGGATGCGGATGACTGAGAGGATTTAACTGAGATAGAATAGAATGACTGACAGATCAACAGTCTAAACCGCGGATGTACTCAAGCTGGTGATAGAGTGACTAACTCGAAAAATGAACAATCGGACAGGCAGACATACCCGCTTATGTAGAATTGGTGATGGAGTGCCTTGACAGATTGACAGCCTGGAAGGCAGGTAAACTCACAAGCAGAGAGCAACTTAAACAGACAGACAAACTGACAGAAAGTAAAATGCAGAGTGGTAGACAGGTAGGGACAATATGCACAGACAGGCAGGATGACAGACAGGCAGACAAACCACTAGACCAGCTCGATAGACGGAGAGAGAGAATGGTAGGCAGGTGTTGAGCATGGTGGGAATTCAGGCAGGCAGGCGGGTGCGATGTCTGGAAGATAGATAGACAGGCAGATCCAAAGGTTGTAGCTTGTGGGAAACCAGTGCGAGGTAGGTGGGCAGGCAGGCAGTTGGGTGGGTGGAACAAGTGGGCACACAGATGGATGAACATATGGGCCAACCAATAGGGAGGCCGACAAACAGAAAAAAAGTAATTTCACAGAAGAGAAGGTGGGCATTCAGGCAGACTGCCGGTCTGGCCAAGGATAAAACAGACAGAAAGACACACAAACGGTGGACAAGCACGTACATATGGACTGACACAAAGACAGGTATGGAAAGACAGACTGACATGAAGACGGACAAACAGAGACACAGAGACACAGAGACCAACAGGAAGATGGACAAGGGGACAGATCGAAAGACAGACACAGAAGCTGACAGATAGTCAGACACCTGAAAGACGAACCGCACTCACCATGGCAAATAGATGGCCAGACAAACAGATGAACTGAAGAGACAGACAAGAAAGACTACATCCATACCAAGCATAGCAGGTATGCCCTTTTCCCCTTCCTGGTCACCTTCCATTCTGCCTACTGCAGGTTAAGCCAACAGAGGGATCAACTTGTGCTATTGATTGGAGACTTAATGAAGCCCTTGCCGCTACTCAAAGAAGTCCTTACCGCTACTTCGATGATATCAATTACTTCCTTGATTTTCTCTGCAGTCTTGGGAATCTTATGCGCATTCACCCCGAACCTAAAGAAACAGAAATGACACCACAATGATAAGTACCTGCATAAATCACTGAGCAGAAGTATGTTGCTTGATGTTTAGTGACGGCGAATGGACATCAGTTTCCTCGGCAATCTGTTTGACAAGTAATACAGCAGGAAAAGTCCACAAGCAAGGGGCTGTGGAAGGAGGCAAGGGAGATACAATGTTCTGACATGTCTGCACATGTGCGGCACTAAGCTGTCGTCGATTCCATTTTCCATAGAACAGTTGGAAGCGTCTTTGATGCAATGACCATGCAGGTTTTCGTCTGTGAACTACAGTGAGAAGTCTGCGATGCTACTGTGGAACGTCTTAGAGCTGTTGTTTGTGTGAGTTTTGCCTGAGATATGTTTTTCTGTGGCTTGCAGTGTTGGACACCTTGACAGTCGGCGGCCCTCGACTAGTCGGCACCTACCGGTCGGGGGTCATCGGCACCCCAAAGGGGTCCAGAACCCCTAATAACACCACCAACACCCCCATAGCGGCCCCCAATTCCCCCATACACCCCCCCAACACCCCAAACGGCCCCCCAAAACCTCATTACCCCCCCAATACCCCC